GCCTAACTGAATGAACATCATTGGGAGAGCCAAGAATGAGCTGACTCAGACTCGGCTGTCTCCAGACTTAGACTTTCTTCTGCGGTAGCTCAAATGCCAGCACAGAATCGGAAACGTTCGAGGCACTATTTAACGCGTGTGCCTCCGCAACCATAAATGAAGAAGGGTCATCGAAACTGGCTTCAGGCGTTTGTCCCTTGTCACCTATCATCGAGGCACCCCACTATCGTAATTTTTTGTGATTTGTACGATATTAGATGGGCTCATTTTGGTCTCGAAATATTTTTTGGATGCAGAATTTGTTCATGATGCTACCTTTGTCTGAAGCAACGGGGTTTTCAGCAAGACTCATTAAAAATGCATTTGGGTATTGCGACGGTTTATTGCTGCAAGAGAATCTTTTTTAGAAAATCTGAGATTGTTTTATTCTTGAGATTTGCCATACAGAATACTTTAGGAATCAATCGAGCTCAACTGAAGAGCTTTGAGAAAGAGTTATATTTCAGCATGGTATACCAGAGTAGAGACAATAGAAAAGTATAAACAGAGACAGGAATCGATTAAATGATGAGTAATATGAAGCTTTATAAGTGAAACCGATTTGGAAAGGCTCATAGCTACGGATTTCAAGTTATATATTTTAAAGTTTTCCGCGCTCTTTCAATCATTTTCGTTTACGCATGTAGTGTTGTAAGAAAACACGTAATTGAAAAAAAAAAACAGAAAGCAAGCGGTTTACAAAAAATGACGCTCTTCTGAATAAGACAGTCTTAGAAATCATGACTATGCATAACTTAGCTTCCAAACCTAAAGATGGTGGCTATTACGCATTTGCAGATGGTCGGCCTGTGGAGCGCTTTCTTCCCAAAATTGTACGACAGGTAGTCAAACACAGAACAAATGATTGGATAAAATGCTCGGATGTACCAAGCATTCGGCTAGTCCTGTGAAATTCGTGGTAGATCTTTTTCCATTCCTTACTCTGTGCTAAACCCTATTTAGCCCTTGTACATCAAGTCAAACAGTCTTTGAATTTCTCCTCTGACAGTTTATGCCCAATAGTTAGCGCCTCAATCTCTTAGCTACGATCAGCGACTTCGAGCTGATTTTCAGGTAAACGGAAATAGTCACAAGCGTTAAACATGCAACCCTACCGGTAAAACTAAGAAAATCAGCAGTCGCACACGGCGAAGATTGAGAACGGCATCATTAGTGATATTGTGACCAATTTTTTTGGACCTGCCTCTGAACACTAAGTTCAATGGCCATATAGATTCACATGCAACCACTGGTAAAATTCTCTTTGTAAACAATTATTAGGGCATTCACTCTCATGCTTAGAGGCCCAAAAGCTGCTAAAAATGATTCTTGATCTTTCTCAAATAATTTATGGTTTCTTTGTATAAATTTTGTTGTAGTTTTCTCATAATACTTTATTTATTTTAATATGATTTAATTTTTGCGTAGGCGTTTTACAGTGATATTTAATCACATTTGTTCAATTTTTTCGATTGGCACTTCATTCTCTCGATTGAGATTCTGGTGAAAAATAAGACTCACTCATTGATTCCACTCAAACAATAGAATATCAGTCAGTCAACTTCGATGATCGCTTATCGCTTAGAATCGCGGACCAGCAAAATATTCATCTATTAAAAGTGCTGGGAAATTTCGATCTCGTCTTTGTTTTCAGGTTTTGCATCAACCGTACAAGCCGTTTTTTACACAAAATTTGCAGGTTTTCTGACAGTAAATAGTTGAGAATTTTCTGGAGCGTTCGCAGTGACCAATCTGAGACCAATACGGACAGAACGAGATTCTATCTGAACAGCTATTAGAACGAATCGTTTTGTTGACTTCTTCGCTGTGATCTAAAAATGCTAACTACGTTGTCAACTGTTATGCATAATTGAACGAACAACAAAAAACAAACAGTGATGAAAATTTGCTTAATTGGGATTTAGGATAGCAAAAACAATATAAAAGCTTTCGAGCATTAAATGATGCCGACGAGAAAAATGATAAATAACATTTAAGCTTCACATTAATGTCACAGCTGAAACTGCTAAACTTTATAACGAATGGTCAGCTATCGTCTTAAAATGAAAAATCTTTCGAATCACCTTAACTACAGAATAGCCGAAACGAAACTTTATAAGCTGTTCGTACGCTTGAGTAATTCAGTTAGCGAACCTCTCTTCCTCTCTCTGCATCGCACCCTGCTTCGTTGCCCAAAGGGCCGTTTAAGAAGGCAGTGGCTCCATGGCATTTGAGATTCATTTTTTTTGCTAGAGCCACGTCA